GAGTGAGCCTTGGTTACTGTCAGTAGTGCACAAACCACCTCTTGTAGCTCTGTCCATGCTGAAAAGTAGGTGATATCCCGGTAAATAAATTTCAACATTAAATCTTTTTTAAATAGGTAGACTTGTTCAACAAGAACTGCTGATTTATTATCATAAAAAAAAAGGATCACTAGATCATAGCAGTGGCAAATTTTGCCACAAAGTTAATACAGTATAAGGGACCATGTTGGGCGATGTGTCAGTCTTGGAGAAAAATAGAAATACCTGGTATGTTGGGAGTAAAACAGAATGACAGGATATTTTTAAGGACAAATTGCTTATGTTACTTGGCATTGCAGCTGGTTTGAATTATTACAATCTCTTACAAGTTTAATGTTTTGTGCAAAACTTTTGTTGTACTTCAATTTATATCTACTGTATTGTAAGCTTCAATGTTTGCATATATTCTGTTGATGTAACATTATTGTGTTTACATATGCAGTACAATATGAGTAAATTGCACCTAATAAATGGTCATGTGCAGAAGCTTTCATAGTTATTTCCTGTGTATAGAATGCAGCCCCTAGGTTTGTATTCACTGGTGCTTTATCTTTTTCTTCACCTCTGTTGAAACTTAATTCATGCTAAAGACATATTTAATTGAAATCCACAGTTAAATAGGATGTAAATATGAAGGATGTCATTATTTATGACAAGAATTGCAGTGCAGGTATCATTGCATTTCATTATTTTCTTATGTTTGGTATGCATAGAATAGAGAGCCTTTAGAGTTTGGGTTTACATGTATTTTAAGGCATTTTTCTTGACTGTGCATAGATTTGTTTTTATGTAATGGTATACTGTATGTCAGTTTTTAGTGAGTACGTTTCATCTTCCCTGTACATTATTGTTGTTGAGTCATGTATGATAGCCTGGTTTAGCCTAACTCATGGTTTTGTTGCAGTTTTCACCTCTGCATGTTAAGATATAAGTAGCACAAACTTGCCTGCTTCATTCATCACTTAAGCATGTAGTGTGAATGCCTTATTGTATCCCCCATCTGTTCCAGAATGATCTTCCACACATACACCATTGTTCATAATTGTTGCTTAGTAAGACATTTAGTAATTGTGAATGTCCTAGTTTAAGCCAGAAATTATGTTATTCTGGACATGTTTGTTTGAAACAAGTTAGTTGAATTAAGACATTATCATTATATCTATTCATCATTCAAATATTGGTGAAAAGTTATTTGATAAATAATGTATCATGTGAAACTGGTCATCATAATTTATTTTAATATTGGTAATTTGTAATAAGTTAAGTTTCTTCAAAACTTATTTGAATTAGAGAAAATCTTGAGAATTACTATACAGGGTGTATGATGTTCATAATTTTTTGTGGGTCTCTGGAAGTGATATCACAATTCAATTGATCTCATTTTCTTATTCTGTAAAGGTTTTTGTGCCTCATGAGTGTTTTGATAACACAAAATATATTGTTTTCACCCTTAAGAGAATTTAGTTTGCCTTTAGTTTACAGGGTGACCAGCTCTTTGTATAGTCCTGACCAAAATTCTCTGTCCATATTTTCTGAGGCTTGGGATTGAATCTGAAATGTTAATGTTTTCATCCCCACAAGATTAAGTTCATTATATCCAAGAAACACGGTTTATTATCTTTATAGAAATGATGTGATGCCCACACATTTTGTAATTCAGTATTTAATATAGATTTGGATTTTTTTTAGTTTATTGAAATTGACCAATAGAGAAATGTGGAAGATTGTTTTGAACAGATTGGGGAAGAATCTGCCTCTGAGGACATGAAATTAATTCTTATATAATTCAACATAGAATGGAATTTTTATCAGTACGGTTATTGCCATGGTAGAATTAATGTATGAAGGAGCAGCTGATGTTTTTAGTGTCCATTACTCATTGAGTATAACTCGCCAGTTTGCTGTTCTATTATCTGTTCTCTTGATTATTCCTTCTTTTTATTATTTATTTAAGTTATTGCTTAATAAGAGGATCTTGATATGTGGTTTCTGTGGCAAGTTTGTTTTGTCTGTAAATGGAGAAATTTTATTTTTGTTTCCTCAGAGGCAAGAGTTATAATGTAGTAGTTTTCATTACTTTCAAAATGTTTGTAATTTATTTATTAGGACTTGTGTTTAATAATGTTTTGTGTAGGACATGATTGTGTTCTTTACAAATAGGTACTGTAGTTCCCTCCTTTAATAACAGCCAAGCAGAACACTATCACCACCATCCCTGACTCAGCCAACTCCTTATAGTTGTCCTGCTCCTAGTTACTCCAGGTCCCCTCCTTTAACATCACTATAATCTCTTTCTTATTGACCCTATTATACTTTTGCAAATTGATCACCATCACATACAACATAGTGATTTCAGTTGGCTCCCGCTGTTGTGAGTATTTCTTGGTCATCACTGGTGGTCATATATGAGTCAGCTACTCCTAATGTCCCTTCAGGTGTCTCAGCCACACTCTAACTTAACCCCAATAAATGGCACAGCTGCTAGACACAAAAGAAGCTGTTTGGTTCATACTCTGAGGAAAGGGTAGATTATTTTTATAAAACTCTACAGTAATTGATATAATTGACACAGTAACTTTTTGGTGCTTTCATTGAAAACCAGAAAGTTTGTTTTATATTAAATACACTTAAATAATGTGGTCCTTGGGAGATGTGTATACAGTGTATACTGTATTGTGCCTTTTTCTCCACTACAATAGATTTTATATAAATTTATAGTCGCTTAACCTACATTTGTGAATTATGCTGTTTATATTTTTTTTTACAAGTCCTCTAATTTAATATTTCATTTACTAGACATACTTGTGATGTGTCCAAGAGCATAGAAAACTTCATAATACAGTAGAACGTCGATATAACAAGAGATAGGTTCCAAGAGATATAACAAGAGATAGGTTCCAAGAGATATAACAAGAGATAGGTTCCAAGAGATATAACAGGAGATAGGTTCCAAGAGATATAACAAGAGATAGGTTCCAAGAGATATAACAAGAGATAGGTTCCAAGAGATATAACAAGAGATAGGTTCCAAGAGAGGTCGCTTTAAACCGAATTCGCACTAAATCAAAGTGTTGTTTCAGTGGAATAATTTAGTTTGGTACTTGAGAGAAACACAAAATACTAAAAAGACTGAGTCTACCCAGATGCCCCTCAGCCCATCTCCTAGAATAAACAAAATATTTGTTTTTTGTAGTATTATGTTAAAACAAACACTCATAAATCAACACAGCTAAAATTATGGGATGTGAAATGGTCTGTTTACTTGCTGGGAAGATGGAGGGGGGGGGGGAGAGGTGATATGTTTGACAGTTGATGCCAAGGTCTAGTGCCTATTTATTTAACTGTCCTTAAGAGTGACTTTTAAGTTTTTCTCTTATCAAATGTCACTGAACTGACATGGGAGAATATAATTAACATTGCTGGTATTCTTATAAGATAGTGATTAATTTGAATATAAACATGCTATAGCTCACATTAGACATACAAATTTTAGTTCTAATTTAAGAAATTTTTACAGACCAAAATTTTTTATCTCTTGTGCAAAATTTATGAGGTTTATATTCAAATTATTCGCTGTCTTGCAACGATTCCAGCAATACAAATTATATTCTCCTAACTTTAGTCTGTGACATTATATAAGATAAAAACTTGAAGCATAAAACACCAAACCCTGGCTGGGAAGATGGAGGAGGAGGGAGGGAGGGGGGGGGAGGAAGTGACAGTGACATGTTTGACAGTTAGCACCGAAGGTCTAGTGAAGTATTTATTTGTTTATTTATGTCCTTTAGCTTGAGTTCATGTTTTTTGTTTATAAAATGTCACAAAAGTGACCGGGGATAATATAATTTACATTGTTGGAATTCTTATAAGATAGTGATTAATTTGAATATAAAGATGCTATAGTTTGCACGAGACAAAAATTTTAGTAATCATTTTGTACATTATTTTGAGTACATGTACAGTACAGCTTTGCCCTTAGGACAGTGTAGCGTCCCCAGAGAAACATTAGGCACGAATTTTAAAATATGATGCACCAGATTGACTCCTGCAAAATAGGAAAGATTCTCTTTAAATTAAAACATTATTCTTAACTGTGGGTGTCGCTTTAAATCAATAATCTTGAATTGAATCACTTTAAATCGACGTTCTACTGTACAAAAATGATGTAGAAGTTATACATACACATCTTGTAAACTCTTCAGTGATGTCCATTATTACCTTACTAATGAGACTGGGACATTTTGTCATCTTTTCCTCACTTGGGTTGGGATGGTGGTGTGTGTTTAGCATGGTACACAGTCATTTTCCTTATCCTTTTTGTTTATTTCTCAATTTGATACTTTTTAAGAAGTGAAAATTAATTCTTTTATACCTGTATATTATTCTTACCTGACTTGATCTACCTTTGTATTAGTTGTGTTTATAGAGACCATGCAGTTATTTTGTTGACTGAAGTTTAATCTTGCTCAACCTCATTCACTGTGTATCTTTAGAGCTAGAGATTTCATAGATCACTGACAACCCTTATTACCTGTAGTTTCAGTGAGTGAAGACAATAAGTTTTGAAATCTAGAAGCAGAGCATTTTTTTATTGTGCAGCTTTTTAAAATTATACCTTTTGGTTTTTTATTAAAGTAGCTGGAATTTTGTATAGGAATGCCAGATTTCACCTTTCATTGTACAGTACCATTAGTGCACAATAGAGAGAAAAATAGTCAATTCATGTGTATAAATAATTGAAAGTACTGTACCGTTTCCTTTAGTTTGTGGTGAATTACTGGGGTGAGGTATGAAGCATTGATGGTCCTCCTTTGTGATTTTTTTATGATGTCAGTAAATTTATTGGAGAAGATGAATGAGGTTGAGCATTTCTGGTACAGTAGTGCATGTGACCAACGAGTCGTTTACAGTGAGGATGATGTTAGTTTTTGTGGAGTGACTAATGGCATGAACCTTTACAGAGACCAACTAGGACTTCCACATCATCAGTTCCCAGCACCAAGGCTCTCCAGGTAGGATTATGCATTTATTTGACCTAATCTTTCATCATTTTCAGAGATGTTATTTTTCCTGAAATGTATATTTTTTTTATAAAACATGAATAAGGTACACACATGCTTCAGCAGTTATTCTGTTATTTTAGTTATGCTGCGTTAAACTTCAAAATAAATTGGAGAACATTTTACATGGATGTAAGATAGGCTAATCCAAAGCCTTGAGTAACACAGTTTATTGAGGTTTGGTCTTTGTCTTTGACCTATGGTAGTGTGTTTTAGTCTAAGTTTGTAATGAAGTATACTTGGAGTAGTTGGATCAGCATTCCAGTGTTGGTCTGGGAAGAATTGAGAAATTATTTTCAATAATGCTGATCTTTGAAATACTAGATGACTCATTATAGCAATATTGTGTTTCTACAAGTCATTCATTTTATTAGAATTCTTACCATATTTAGTATACAGGTAAGGATAATGAAAAACCTTCTTTCATCTTTTTATATTCACAGACTTCTGAAATATTGTTGTAAATGATAGCTTCAAGAATTAAAATTTTTAAAGTTATTTTTAAGAATAACTTTGTTTTCATGTTGGTAGGGTTTTATTTTCTCCTCTTCAGATACATTGATGTTATAATATAGCTGTCTATAATACATAAATGTTCTATGCTTATTTTGAAGACGTAAAAATCATTAATTGTCTGTGCAGTACAACACTCAGGCTGGTAACATTAATTAACTTAGACACAAGACAGTGTATATATTTCTGCTCTTTAAATGGTTATGCTTTGATGCATCATTTAATGACCTCTTCAAGTACAGTGGGGTATGCTATAACGAACGGATCCTACTACGAATATTCCTATAACGAACGGTTTTACCTATAAAATTGAGATTGCTATAACGAACGAAACTCCTACAACGAACATTATTTAGAATTTTTTTTTTTTTTTTTTTTTTACCAATTTATTGTTTTTTATTACAAGTATTAATGATGTTCTTTATTTCAGGGGTTTAGATGCATATTTATGCACTTTTTTACAATTTTTGCAATTTTATATTATATTTTTCAGTGTTAAGTGGTTGTATTTGGGGGCCTGGAACGAATTAATCCTATAACGAACGAATGCTATAACGAACAAGGTTCTTGAACCAATTAGATTCGTTATAGCATACCCCACTGTAGTCAGTTTTAGCTGTAGTTGCCTTATGAGCCAATCTGCTTTTGAAAGAGTGTTTGCTTTAATTCCACTAGTTATATATTAAACTGACCCTTGGTTGTATTTAAACATACATTTCTGTGATGTGGTACAGTACTTCTTTCTTCAAATACTGGATGCATTTTAACTAAAGGTGAAGGTCTGTTGTATACAATGTTAACCCCATATAACTCGCATCCTTGTTAACACAATGTGTGCAGTCTGTTTCAGGACGTGTACCTTACTCCTGGGTTATCTCCACATCTATGCTGAAAATGCTCAACTTCAACTAAAAATTATTGCACTGCAAATATAGACTAAGTGTTGCAAGACCTCTGCATTTCTGTCATTTTTGCAGTTGTGATAATCTCGCCTTTGCCATTCATGTGTTTAAATCATCAGTACCTCTCTGTGTGATGCTAAGGAGGCTTTGGCAACTTTACCGTATTTCTTATGTCTGATGAAGGTGAATTACATTTACCTGTGGGAATAGTTGGACATCCTTTACTAATTTTTAATATAGATGTAATGAAGACTCCCAAACTTATATGTCATGTGCAAAAGAGATGTATGAAGTACAACATTCTTCCTCTCTCACTCACACTAACAAGCTAAAAATGGTTACCCTAAATTAGTGATATAGACTGTACAGTACTGTATAATAAAATAAAAAAGTCAGTCATCCATAATTTTGCTCAGTTAGACATAACATCATATTGGATTTTTTTTAAATTACTAATATCCTCAATGATAATCCTTCTGTAACATACATGATAAAGTAGGATACTGTACAATACACTGAGCAGAATTAACCACTAAAATTTGCAGAAATGTGATGTCATTTATTATAAGTAGAGTTCTGTAAAAGAAAGTCATATCAGCATAATTAATATATGTGATGGGTTGTGCAGTTTGCATAACTTTAGTACATATTTTGTAAGATGTGGGATGACAATGAAGTCTGAATACTGATAAAGTTTCAGGATGTCAACTTATGCTATGATATACTGTACTCTAACAAAAAAGGGAGACATTTTTTATGCAACTTGTTGTAAGTGAAGTTCTATGTCAAAAGTTTTCTCTTGTTTTTTCTGTAACACCGCAACTTGACAAGATTTGTTTCTTTTACACTGTACATGTACAAACAGATTTGTAAGATATATATAGTATAGTTAAACATCAAATAAACAATATCTATTATATAAATTGAGAATGATGTACAGTACTGTATTATTAATGTCACTGAAGATCAGTTGAAGGACCAATCTTCCTCGTGTTAAATTGAGTATTATTAGAGTAATAGTGTCTCTTAAAGAAAACTTTGGAAGAAAGCAAAATTTACAACTTCAGTGCAATGATATCTTTGTTCATCTCCTGGTGAAGTAAAATATCCATAGTGATGCAAAAAAGGACATAATTTCTGCTAGATGGAAGATACTGACTATTGCTCCTTTTTATGGATGACTCACTGTCAGCCTATAACTGTTTTGTGCTGATATGGCTGTGTTATTAACAGGTTGTCAGTATTTTCTACAGAATTATGTTGAAAGTCGTCATAAATTTTTTTTTCTAAAGGGTACTGTATAGGCCTTTCTACAGTCCACGTTGGGTACCAGACATACTGCAGATGCACTAGAATGGCTCTTATAACAACAGAGTTCGAGTGTGAAGTTGTCTGATGCGTCACATTTCTGCATTAAAAGTCTCATCTAAAGCGAAACACAGGGATGTTGCAACACACTAAAATGGTGGTCATGGGTGAAGCGATTGGGTTGATCATTAAGGGGTTGTTTTGTGTCTTCCCTGTGCAGGAGCCGGATGAGCATGTGATGGACCAAGACGGCTTTTACTGAGACTTGACAACAACGTGCGCTTTGCCTTCCTCCTCCCTCAGACTTGGCATCACTGTACTAGTCTGAGAAGCTGCCTTTGCAATGATGGGAGAGGGAATATAACAGATCCATTTCAAAGACTATATATCATTGATATAATGATGGCAAAGGCAGAGAAGGTTGAAATTTGGGTATTTTCAGGATGCTGGGTGCTTTAAATGTAATGATCATTATAAAATATCTATTGTGTAATCTTTTGATGTTTTATCTATGGGTGCCATCTCATAATTTACAGGATGAAATGATATTACATGAAGAGGATATTAACTTTAATAATTTTATACTGAATGCAATATTTTCTTCCATATTTACTGTATATTTTTATAGAATAGTTGACACAGAGTTGTATATTATTTTTATGTAGCCATATACAGTAGAATCCCAGCTATCTGGCACCTACAGGGATTGAGAGCTGCCGAATAAAAAAATAATTCCGGTCAGTCTCAGAAAAGCAGACTTGTATAACAATTATTCCGCTCATATAAACGATGTGGCTTAGAAATAAAGAAAATATAATATAAAACTATAAAATAAGAAATATGAAGAACATGGGTGTGTATGTGGGGCATGAATGTGTGTTGAGACGGTGGATTACTGGGATATAATTGCATGGCTGCACTTCCTCCTGATGTCACTTCACAGCATACACAGCCAGTGCGGCAGCTCCCATGTCTGATTGCCTGGCTGAACTGTGTTGCATCGCCTAGAGATTGGCTTGAGTATGGAAGGAGCTATTTTTGGTCCATAAAATATGTGCTAATGTATTTTATGATATGCTGTCTATCGATTTATTGTTTATCCTAGCAATAAATATGGCTGCTCATCCCCGTTGCGAGAGTTATTCAAAATTACGATTCTAGCTGATTTTGGAGGAATTTTTATTTTCATTATTATTATTTCATTTTGATGCCACTTGTTGAATCTGCTGGCTGCCCAGATACCGGATAACTCTGATTCTACTGTATTGAAATTTGTATACTATTTTGCAAGAGGGAATTGAGAATTGGCACCAGATGTTATGATTATCATTATAATGTGTTGCTTTATAACAGTTTATTCAATCAGTGATGAAACACTTTAGAGGGTTATCATTTGTATATCTCTGGTCAAGAAAAATGTCAGTGTGTGTACAAGATGCCAGTTTTCAACTTCAATCTTGTGGTTATAAAATATATGCCAAGAATGGTAATTTAATTTTGGCAAAACAGTTAATCTTAAGTAGCAGTTGGTATGATTGGATACTTCACCGTATTTTGAATTGGAAAATGTGTGTCTGATGACAAAAATCCTTTGTAATTGTTTTGGGTAAAAATTAATGTCAATATCTTTTAAATATTCACCTTATAAAGTAGGACATGACAGATAGTACAGTACTCAGTTGAGAAGAGATCATATATTTCAGATGGTAATATATTTTATCATAATTACAAAAGAAAAATTATATACAGGTATGGGACCATTTATCAGGCCTGCTTGGGACCTGGGGGTTGCAGGATGTTTTTTTTTTGTAATTTGTTGCGCCAGGCCTAAAATGTACTTCAAACCCTCGGTAACTGGCTGTGAAGCTTCTGTTCAGATCACTAAATTCACCTCTAAAAATAGCTTTAACTGTACACTGTAACATTAAAAGTTAATGTACACACTGCATTGCAGTCGCCTCTGATATTCACCTCAGCAACACAGCAGCGTCCTTACCAATGGTGCTCCTCCGCTTACCCTCTAACCACACAGCTTGATGATGGCACCTGTGGATATGTAAAACTTTGTACGTTATGATAATTATATATTTTTGCACTTTCTGTATGTAGGATTGTGTGTGCATGTAATCGAGTTAAAAAAAATTAAGAAATTTGAATAAATCTACCCAATATTAAGAATTGTAAAATAAGCATAACATAACAGGTGGGGAGTGGTTGAAAATATCCTCTCAGCCTAGGAATTACATTTTACGATAATTTTAAATAATTGGTTCTAGAATATAGCCAGTCTTTGGAGCGTTACCAGGACGCAGGATAAATGGTCTTATACCTGTGTGTGTGCGTGCGCGCGCTAGCGCAGTTTATTGATATGCTTACTTTTCTGTCTTTAAGAAATACTGTACTGTATAGTTAGAAGGTTTGTGTGGTATATCATGTGTGTGTGTAAGGGATAGTTATAATAAATGGGCTACTAAACTACTTACTACTCCCCGTAACAAAACTTGGTCATGGGAGATAGAGTTTATGTAAGTAATTTTAGGTTAAAGTTTCATATGATAACTATTTGTTTTACATCTTAAAGCTTATGTGTTTTGGGTGAACATATTATTTCTGAAGCATTAGTCTGGGATTCTTCAACGAGAAACCCATTTAAAAATTGTAAATATGAATGTTGAAGTTATTCTCGGTTTGTAATAAATATTTAGAACTTATGAAACATATATGACGACCAAATACTTCAATAGATGTATACTGGGGAAATAGGAGTTATCATTGAGGAATGAGACATTCAGAAAGTATTTGGGTGAAGGCTGATCATTCCTTTAATGTAGCTCTTCTTGATAGATACATTTAGAAAAGTAAATATAAGTAATAAATCAGTTATAGATTAACCATTTGTAGTAGCCTTGCAAAACATGTACAAAGATAGCATGCCAAAAATATTGAACTTAAAAATATTGGTGTATAGAATTATCCTTCTTCATAGCTGACACAGTTTGTCTTTGAAAGAAATTATCTACAGTTAAAGGTAAGATTTCTCTTATTTGCTGAAATATTCAGACTTTTTAAATTAAGGCTCATCAGTGTTAGTCAATGGTTAAAATATTATAACACTGTTGACATACATCACAGAAAATGTCTTGTGATTGAACCATTGTGTGGTTCCCATAGTTTTGCAGGACTAATTTTTACACCCCATCATTCATGTATTAGTGACAAGAACTTTGAACATCAGTTGTTGGTGAAATTAAACTCCAGCAAATCTTGAGTGGTAATGTTTGTTGTGTAATGTAATGTAGCCTACTGAGAGATTTTTTTTTTTTTTTTTTTTTTTTTTTTTTTTTTTTTTTTTTTTCAAAAAATTCTTTTTCTTGTTTATGTTACCCAGTATTCTTATGTCATTCCATTACCTTGGTAGTAATGTTGTGTGGTTCAGAGAAGCACTATTTAAAAGACTGTTAGAGAAAATTATTTTCCTTTTTGTTTTCTCAGTTCTCTGAGTGAGCCCAATATATACAGCACTGTACTGCAGTTGTACCTTTAAGGTGGCATTTTAAACTTGATATTCCACTTATTATTTCTTTCAGTTGTTATAGGATTTAGAAAGTGTTATTAGACTACCAGTTCTTAATGTGTGTTTAGTAATAAAATATCAATTGGGATAATTACTTCATACTTTTTGTTACTATGTAGACATCAGTTACTTTTATGTTTAATTCAGTTTTTTAGGCTAATAATTTTACTTTTACTCAACAAGTAAGTCTACTTTTGTATATTACAAATTACTATCAATTTGCCCATCACTGCTGTGTACTATACATAAATTTTTTAATAAGTATTTTTTTGTCTAATAACTGAATGTTATTTACTGTATAAGGAATGTCCAGTGCTGTGTGGCTCATTATAACATCTGGTATACGTGAAGACAACTGACTTGTTATGTACATTTAACACTGAAGGCTTGGTGTTCCCCACAGGAAGCACTAGCAGAAAAGACACAACATGTGGATCAGCTCATGCGTGAACGAGACATGGAAAGAGCCGAGGTGGCTCGAATGGCTGCACAGGCAGATGAAGCTACCAGAGCAGCACATGAAATGAGAGCACAGCTTGATCAGGTAAACAGTTTTTCATATGATAATCAAAAACACTTGAATGATGATCCTTATTTAGTGTAATATGGTATATGCTGCACTGTGTGCTGTAGCTCTAATGTGCAGAGAAAGGTTGTTTTGGTGAACAGTCCTTTGTGTGCAAGCTGACATGTAGCTACTGTACACATACAAAAGAGATGGGAGAGGGAATGAGCTGTTAATGTTGATAGAGTGCAGTACAGTTTGTAGGAGTACATGAGACAATCAGAAATGTAAAGTTCCCAATTTATTGAGCAAAATTTAAATAATTTTTGTTCTCCCTGGTCAGCAGTAGACCTTGAAATTTGTAAGAACTAAACAAAAATGTTAGGAAATTCTATGATATTTAAGCTATTACCTTAGAAAGTGCAGTCTTAAGTGTGTGGGTGTAAGAAAATAAGAAGACAAACAAGAAGAGGAAATAGTGGAATGAGAGGTTGACAGTACAGTGGTCCCTCGGTTAACGAGCACAATTCGTTCCAGCAGGTTGCTCGTTAACCGAAACCATGTTTCAATGGGTTTTTGGGTAATTGGTTCCAACTCACCGAAAATTACATACAAACTAAAAACAAATGCAGTAAAGTACACTTACTTTGAGGTGTGCATGTAGAAGGCTCCTGGTTGATGATGATGGTGATGGGAATTAGAATGGGGGGGTGGAAGAGAAGAGAAGGCATTGGGGTGGAAGAGAAGTCACCCCATGCTGCCATTTCACCCATAAAATTTAGTTCACTTGGTGGAATTCAAGATTATTTTCTTTAAATTAACACTGCACTGCGCTATACAGTATTACCCGCTTTACACGTTTTCACTTTCCGCGATTTCTCATTTACGCGGTACCTTGCCAGAACCGAACTTTCACTTTCCGCGGTGCATCTACTCATATATGCGGTGAAGTATGATTTTTTTTTTTTTTTTTTAGCTCATAAAATTCATACAAATTACCCGGCCAGAATATAATTTATATTGCTGGAATTCTTACAATATGATGATCATTTTGAATATAAACATCATGGATTTTGCATTAGACATACAAATTTTAGATCTAATGTAATAATTTGGTTTACACAAAGCAAATATTTTATCGTTTGTACAAAATATATGAAGCTTACATTCAAAATATTCCCTGACCTGCAAGGAATCCAGAAATGTCAATTAAATTATCCTAACTTTAGTCTGAGGTATTATTTATTACTAAACGTTAAAATCTAGTGTTTTCACCCAAACATTTCTCTGGTATGGAGGGAAGGTTGGGGGTGGGGGGGAGGGTTGGGACCGACCGACCCAGCTGGCTTGAGTGTGAGGAGGGGGGGGAGGCAAGGTGGGGTACTTTGATTGACAGATAGTGTCCTTGAAGAATATTTCTTTGTTTATTTACTGAAGATATTTGTTTTAGCTCATAAAGTTCATACAAATTACCTGGCCAGAATATAATTTACATTGCTGGAATTCTTACAATATGATGATCATTTTGAATATAAACATCATGGATTTTGCATTAGACATACAAATTTTAGATCTAATGTAATAATTTGGTTTACACAATCAAATATTTTATCTTTTGTGCAAAATATATGAAGTTTACATTCAAAATATTCCCTGACCTGCAAGGAATCCAGAAATGTCAATTATATTATCCTATCTTTAGTCTGAGGTATTATTTATTACTAAACGTTAAATTCTAGTGTTTTCACCCAAACATTTCTCAGAGAGGTAGGAGCTAGTGAGCTGGGAAGAGGGGGGGGGTGATTTGAGTCAATTATTTGAATGGACATTTACCTGGCGACTGTATTTCTCTTAAATATTAATTGTGTGAGCATACCATCATAAAATTAAGATGTTATTTTTACTACAACATAGGTATTGTCAGAAAAAATGGAGTTTGGGGGTGTGGCCAGTCTCTATTGGAATTAATCCCATATGTTCTGTTGTTCACTTTACGCGGTTTTCACTTTCCGCGGTACCCAGTGGGTTCAATTGACCGCGTAAATCGGGGTACTACTGTATATAAAAAATATGTGGTGTAATTTGCCGGCTGGAAACGCATCCACCCCAATTCACATTAATTCTTATGGGGAAAATTACCCCAATATTCACAGTTTCATTAATGGCAACAACTTTGAGGAGCACATCCCGTGAGATAAACAGGGTATTCCCGTTTATGAAAATACAGTATATTGAGCCACATTGTCAAGTTTGTGGATGACAAAGATATTTGGGAAGGTAGCAAATCAAGAGGATGTCACAACAATGCAGAAAACCTGATTGAGCTGTTCAAATTGTCTCAAGACTGACAAATGTTCTTGAACATTGTCAAATGCAAGACCCTACATACATGATACAACAACTCTAGGCACAACTATTCAGTTAATGACACTTTTTTGGATACTGTTGATAAAGAGAAAGATCTTGGCATTGTGATAGGTTATTCACTGAAGGCAGTGCAACAAGTGAGTGAGAAAAGCAAATTGAGATTTGGTAATTATAAAACGTATCTTTGAATACAAAGATAGGAAAGTTTTCCTTCAACTGTACAAATCTCAAGTATGTCCTAGTTTAGGATATTGTAGATATGATCTAACATCCCTAGAATAGGTGTAACACAGAGTGACTAAGGTGATTCTGGAACAATGTCTTCTCAATTATCCAAGCAGACTGAGGGCCTTAGAACTAACAACCCTTCAGACAAAGCCCCAGGTGGGGAGCAAACTTGCCCGCTCTACACACAGGTTCCTTGTGAAACATTACTGCTGGTAGCCCACTCACTTTTACACCTCTGTGTACCCCAGTGACACTCACAGATTGTTGAGTGACACTGTTGGCATTGCTAATTGACATTGCCACTTACTGTTGAGTGACACTGCAGGCACTGCTAACTGAAACTATCACACCATTGAGTGACACTGCAGGCACTGCTAACTGACACTCACACACTGTTGAGTGACACTGCACTGCAGGCACTGCTAACTGACACTATCACACAACCTGGGTCCTCAAGGTCTGTGTCCACATTTACTGCTCAGTTTAGTGAATTGACCTCATCTTTGCTCATTTTATAAATAAATACACATTTATAGAATGTGAAAATATACATATTTTACATTGTGTGAATGTATATATTGCCATAAACAGTATAAATTTTTTCTTTCAGTTGCAAGTTGAATCGGAAGAACGTTTACATGATTTTGGGGAGCGAATTCGCAGTTTGGAGAAGGAAAGAGAAGATTTCCTCACGAAACTTGAAGATAAACAAAGAGAGCTTGATGATTTAGCTTTCAGGTTAGAGGAGGAATCCATCACAAAGGCTGACTTGGAGGTAAGGGCTGGTTTGTTATTTGTTCAGCCAATACCTTAAACCATTTTCATACCATTCTGATACTGTGATTGATAGTATAAATAACATTGCATGGTAAAATTTCTGAACACAGATGAGAATGCTTTTCATTGTTACAAAGTTAACATATCTTTGTTTTTATTTGCTTATTTATTTATTATTATTATTTTTTTAATAAATTTGCTTTAATAATTTTTTGTTAACATGCTTTTTGTGACCCTGCTATTACTGGGGTGAACATGAAAATTAACATAGGTTCATTGAGTCCATTGACTGGAAACTTCCCAGATGCAGGTATTCCTTGGTATATTATTAATATATTTTATGAAATTGACAAATACAAATTACAGAGTTCTGCAGGATGCTTAAATATTGTATTGAATGTTAAGAAAACTTTTTATTATTGGAAGGATGCTTCTAGTGAGACAGCCTGTGTCAAAACTGGCTGAGAGTACGTACATATGCTATACACTGGAGAGGCCTGTGGAGTAATGGTCAGCAAGCGAGTGGACCCGGGTTTGATCCCCAGGCAGGGTAAAACTATGGGCAAGTTCCTCTATGCCATTTGCCTCTGTCTACCCAGCAGTAATTGAGAACTTGGATGTTAATCGATTTGCCGATCATATTCCGGGGTAATGGTTAGCCATTGCAGTTGGCGAGTTGTCCGGTCTTCTTGGAATATTCCTCGACACCGGGTCATGCAGCTCGTCAACTTAGGGTGTGGTTGTTGTGTTGGCGACAGCTTCTACACCTTAAACAAATTCACGCCTAGTCGTTACACGAGGGGCAAACATTACTATTATTATTCTTGTTATACACTACTGTATACTGTATACAAGCATCCTCTGGGTTACAGAAGGGTTCCGTTCCTAAAAATCTTTTCGCAATGCAAAATTCAATAACGTGAAGCCATTATTCTCATTGATTTCCCTTATAAAAGTTAAGATGTGTTCACAGAAATTTTTTGAGGCCCAAAAACGTGACACAAGCACATATACTGTATGAAATTAGATGATTTTAACCACATGCAATGAGTCATTCATGATATAACATGATAATAAATGAACAAAACACTCGATATTTACTTACCAGAAATGATGAGTACTGCAGGAGGTGATGAGGTTAAATGATGCGATCGGAGTTACTGGGAGTTACCTTCTTAAAACATCGTATTTGTGTTCAATACAATTGCTTTATGAAATATTTTATCATCACTGCTTTCATTTGAACTTAATGATATTTTTCCACTCATCTTGAATAAGGTTACACAGTAACATAGTTGCATAACTGAACACAAACTGGGGAAAGAATTCTAACTGAGCAGCGCTATTGTTGTTATGGCTGCTATCAGCTGGTAAGGTGAGCTGTCTGGCAGCCATCTGGTAGCTACCACCAGAATCCACACAAAGTAAATTTTACAATTTCGGTAAATTTGTTTTGTTTTATATCGTGATTTTTTCTTTTGAAAATATTACTAAATTAACCGTCATTCTGTAAGGGCGAATACAGTCCTGAACACTGATGCATAACTGAACATAAGCTGGGGAAAGAATTCTAACAGAGTAGCACCATTGTTGTAGTGGTTGCTGGTAACTGGGGAGGTGAGTGGCCTTGTGGCTACCACAGAGAATCCAGATGAAATAATTTAAAAAATTTGGGTAAAATCTTGGGTTAAAAATTGCATTTTTTTATTTAAAAATTTACCAAAATTCCGTAAGGGTGATTTTTTTTCAGTAGCCTGAAATTTTGGTCATAATTTCAAAATTCCATAAGGGCGAAATTCCGTAACCAGGGATTCTGTAACGCGGGGGATGCCTGTGCTTGTTTGCGATGTCTTGCAAAAGGTAGTTTAGTCTAGGTATAATGTGCACAGAGCTCCTTCCTGTCACAGCCTCTAAAATATTGACATTAAAAAATTTGATATATTGAGAAGAAAATATTACAATTCTTTACTAGTTTAGTCTAGTAGAAATGATTATTGTGTATTGGTATTGTTGTATTCTGTAATAATGAAACATCACAGCCACAATAGATGGACCTATAAGTTAGTTATATATTGTATTCTGTTTATATTATTGTTTTGAGTAAGCAGTTAATTCTTGAAAGGATAAAAGTATGGTATATGATAACATATAGCTAATGTACTCAGAGGAGGGTAATGCATGTGTAATATTTTTTAACACCTGTTTGGTCAGAAAGTGTTGTCTTTACCTAATATTTTTGATGTACTGTACTAGTGGAGCTCATTATTATACACTTGACATTCCTTTTTTGGAAGACCATACCAAAGATGTTCATATAACCAAATGTTTTTGCATGTATTGTTGGATTATTTGTCTTGCTAACATTACAGTAAACAAAATACAAAGATGAGTTGGGGACAATAAGCTAGGTAACTGGAAGGTATGGGAATGGGACGTGGTTTGGTTCTGATGGTTATTTAGTAATATCTCCGTTGGCCGGATTTCCTCAAACCCGGAACTCTTCGATAGCCGGAATTGAAATTTTCTCGGAAAATTTTTCCCAAAGCCGGAATTTTCCGGACAATTCCGGCTTTGGGAACGATTTTCTGAGGGGCACATTTAACGGAAAATTCTGAGAAAATTTTCCCGATACCCGGAAAATTCCGGAGATGGGGGAGTTCTTTCCGGGTTTGAGAGATAAAAATCAGGCGCATTTTCTGGAACTTCCGAGAAAATTTTTCCGTTATTCGGAAAATTCCGGGAATGAGGGATTTTTTCCGGCTTTGAGAGAGTCGTCTCGTTACCCGAAAATCTCTCATTCCCGGAAGTGCTCTGCACCAACTGTTCCGGCTAATGGCGATATCACTGTATAGAGCTTAGGAGTAAAGGTGAATCCCAGGATGAGTAATGCTTTTAAAATGACCTTCTTTGACAATGGTGTCTTGTTATTGTAGTACCAAGGGCAGTAAACATCATCCTAAGGAAAGCTGGTTTGTACCCTTAGGACACCTACTCCATCTTATTGTGAATAGGCGCTTAACTCTACAGCTGAGGAGAAAATAGAGGATTAGCTGTCAGTGTACTGTAGGTCACCAAATATATGGAATCCACTTTAAAACTTGAGTAATTTTTCATTATTTTGTGAAAGTGAAAGTTGGTCCCATAGGCATGATTACTGGTTCTGTCCCATGTGGATGCAGGACACCATATAATATGCCTTCAGTATAGAAAGAGACAGTATGGCTGGCACTGCATAAACTGCCTTCACTTTCCCAATTTTCAAAGTTATGTACCCATTACAGATTGATAGAGTGGGAGTGTTTGGTATAAAAACCAATGACCTTTAGGACAGGAGGTGAACACTGTATCCACTTGACCACTGCACTCCCATGATATTGTAATGAAGCTAAAACCTTCAGAAATTGAAAAAATGGATAAAATTGAGAAGCGATTTAGAAGGCTGAAAATAAGTCAGGGGTTAAATTTGAAGTTTTAATCCCCCAAAAAAATGAATTCAGAGAACTCATAAGGCTCTCAAAGAATTCCATACAAAACTAAAGAGAAATGTAGACATGCTTAACTTCTTGGGTACGAGGGATCTCTGTGTGTTGAATAAAATTGTCTGGTGTTAGCCAAATAAAATATTAAAAATGGCATTCAGTAGTGAAGGGGATAAGAATACATTCTGAACAGAGAAATATAGTACAAGGAGATAGAAGATTATGTTAGAAGATATATTTGCTGAGAAATGTACAAAAAGATAAAGGAAATGAAATAGAACGGGACATAGAAGAGATGGATCTGTGAAGAGTACATCACATAAAAAACAATTTGAGGCAGATGAAATAAAAGAAGGTGGGCAGAGTAAGTTGGAGAACAGTATGACTGAGTGGAGGTATGCAGTGAAAATATAAAAGTGTGAATGTTGGTACAGTTGACTCTCAATTTATATAGTGATAACGTTCTTGAAAACACCATGTAAAAGAAGACAGAGGGACTATGGAAAGCAGAATTAGGTTCCAGATTTGCAAGATGACTTCCTTCATCTAATAAGTTAACATACACACAACAAAACATTAAATTAAAAATGTTAATGATGTTTAAATTTGCAATTAACCTTTAGTGATGACGATGAACTTAATATGATGATAATGTTGGAGTCAGAAGTTTGAGGATCTACCTGAATACCCTAGGGAGGCTGGGGAGTGTGGAGCGGAGCTGGTGGAGGTGGAGACAGCTGCAGCGGCAATGGTGCCACACTTGCAAAAGAATATGATGCAGGTAGCAGTGGTGGTGGTGGTGGTAGACATAAAAAAGAAAAAAACTGCTGATGGTCAGTTGTTTGGATTAATTCTGTAATTCTGTGTACACTTCTCAGTAAAAAGTCAGTACACCCTCAAGCTTTCTCTTGAATTTCAAGCTCTGTTCCAAAAAATGGATCCTTAGCAGAATTAAGGTCTTCTATTTCCTTAGCCAATCAAAATTACATATCCAGACTCTTCATTGTTAACTGTAACTTTGGTGTCGCCTCCACCCTTACTTCTCACTGTCCTCACCACTGGCAACTCATTGAATTGGCTCCTACAGCTCATCTTTACTGATCTCAGTACAGTGGGATTCCAGTAAGTCCTCCACATCTGCCACCTGAAGATCACCTCTGACATGGTGAGCCATATCTATCACATGTTGCACTCTCAGGAAACCACAAAAAACATTCACTGCCTTTGGCCATTAATTTTTCCAACATGCATTGATGGTGAAATGCTGTATTTTATTCAGATATTTTTATATTTTTTTTATCCAGCTTGCTATGCTGTCCTTCCAGCAAGTACAGTGAGTGTAACAAATGTTAAAAGCTGAGATGCTATTGGTCAAGGGGGGATGATTGACTTGGTGTTTTGAGACAGAGAGACCACCCGCATATTAGGATGTATACATGTGATTTGTATGTTGATCATACAAGGCATGCACCTCAGGCCCATTAAGCAACCATGATGAACTGTGTAAGTGGATCCTGTG